AAAAAAAAAAAAAAAAAAAAAAGTGATGAATAAACAGAATATTAAACTTCGTAGACTGAATGTGTAAGAAACTGGGATTGAAAGTTTATATCATTAATAAACTGGATTTTATTAAATGGTAAAAGGCACAGTGAACCACATGAAAGCCACCAAATCTCACAGTTGACATCAGTTTTGGGAACTGGAACCATCCCTTTCCCAGGACAAGTGACTCAGGCCTTTACCCCCTCGCCCAATGAACTGGCAGCCAAAGCAGGGGCTCCTGCATGGACCCTGCCTCTGGGGTCAGGTTTCTGCATGTTCGCCCCCCAAGCCCCTGTCTTCTGGGACTTGTGAATGAAGTGAGACCCCAGAACCCCCAGACTGGACTCTGATTGGGCCACTCGGAGGCCGGCCCCTTCCCCAGCCTTGGACTCCTTCAGAGCAGGGCCAGGGCCCTGCTGGAGGTGGGTAGTGAGCGGGCCATGTCAGAAGGGTCCAGCAGCGGCGGGGCGGGGGATGAGGGCTGGGGCCGTGCATGCTGGGCAGGCGCCGGGGTCCTGCCGCTGCTCCGCCTGGGGCCTTCTTTGCCCGTGGAGCTGGCTGCCGACTGGGAGAAAGGCCAAGGGCAGCTCCGGGCCGGCTGGCGGCTTCCGCCCTCCTGGCGGATTCCTGAGTCCTGCCCGCACCTCGCGGGCTTCCCAGAAACCTCACCCCATCCCCTGAGGGGCCTCGATCGGGGCCAAGGAAATGTGGACGCTGCCTGGAGACCCGTTGTGTTCAGGTGCCTGGGGGCAGGGCGGCGGTGCCCCGTGTGAAGGGGAGACGTCCAAGTTCAGCGCGCCTGGCAAACGCGCAGGAGCTATGGGAAAACGCTCCGTGGATGTCGCCGCTCGGGGGCAGCCTTCTGGCGGGTCCCGGCAGTCACGTGTGACCCACAGAGCAGCGCTGGGAGCTGACCGGGCAGGTAAGGGCACACGCAGAAAACGCTCTCAGCCGGCCTCGGGCGCCGGTGAGATGGAGCCCGACCCGGGAGTCCAAGCCACTCCGTATGCTGCAAACACCCAGCACCCACCGTCCTGACAGACGGCAGGGTGCGTGAGGGTGCACACACACGCGCGCGCGCACGCGCACACACACGCACGTGCGCCTGGCTGAAGAAACACAGGCAGAGGGCACACACAAAGCGCGTGTACGGTTGAAGTGCACGTACCAGGCGGGGAGTGAGAGTGCTGTGACACCAGGGACGGGGCGCGCCTTCCCGGGGTGTCCGTGGGGACAGGACGGCCCCCAGCGCTGCCACCCCTGATTCGCAGAGCCTGGCGCAGGAGCCCCAGGTGGGCCGGATGGAATCGCACATCGTTAACCGAGCACTTCCTCCAGCTGGAAATCGGGAGTCGACTCCCGCCCAGCCGCGGAGCGGGGCCGAACTCGCTGCTCTTCCCCAGGGCCTCCGGGTCCGGGCCGCCTTGGTTTGGCCTGTGAGACCCAGGGCGGGCGGGAGAGCCGGCCAGTGCCCCCCAGACTCGGACCCACAGAACCAGGTTCTGGCAGCCTCAGCTTTTGTGGTAGCTTTTTGGCGGCGACAGAAGACTCCTGCAGGTACCGTTTAAAATTATCTTGATTTTTTGGAACCCTGTGAATGTATTACCCGTTCAAAACAAAAGAGCCAAACACAAAAACCAAAATGAAAAGGGGAAGCCCTGCCGAGGAGGGGGCGCTGGTGCTCTGAGCCATGGGCCCCTCCCAGGCAGGGTCCTCCTGGAGTCTCCCTCCCGTGGCCGCTGGTAGGACCCACGCTGGCACTGAACTCCGGTGGTTACCCCGAAGCAGTGGTGGCAGTGGGCATGGGGGTAGCAGCTCTGGGACGTTTTGCCCAGAGGCCCCACTGACCGGGCAGAACCCTCCAGCCAGCCTGCTCCTACGGCAGCCAAGTCGACCTCGAGGCCGCGGGGCCTGACCACCTGGCCCAACCCGCCTACGTTTGTTTGCGTGCACATGTATTTGTGCACATGTGTGTGCGTGTGCGTGAGCTACACCTGCGGAGGGTGAGTGTGGCTCGGGCATCTCCCAGCCCAGGGTAAGGTGTGGGGAGCCCTGAGGGAAGGGTGGAAGTGAACTCTGGACCAGGCAGAGGAGCTCACAGG